ATTCACGGTGTAAAACCAAATTAAAAATACAGCATTATAAGTATTTTCAACTTTATTATTGAATAGACCCAAGCTCTTTCTCAACTCAAAATGTGCGCGACATATGAACACACGCATGCACCAGCATTCACTTGATGAAACATTCCCTTGACGCTACTTCACTGGGGGGCTTCAAGGGAGCGCTTCCACCCAGCATCTAGACCAAGAACTAGATAGTTTATTCCTCAGCACTACATCCTGACTTATGGATCCTGCTGAGTATCGTTGTAGAAGTAGAAGAAGTGAAAAAAATGCTGAAAACGGAAATCAAGTAATATGAGCTTAGTCTAGTTCTTACCTCCTTTTTAACAGGAATTAATCAGGCATCAATTCTTGGTGAATATTATGTAATGAAGCTAGGCCAACAATAGGGTCATCCGGATTTCTTTTCCGGATGTCTAGAGTGGTAAATGAAGAAAATGAAGAAAACTCTTCTTCGGAGTATTTAGGAGGAAAAGAATCAAAGATCCAATACCCAATCGGTAACGTTGCAGTAGGTAGAGCTTCAGACTAGTTAACTAACTGAGCTTGCGTTGGCCGCCTATGCGCTATGCATGCTGCTATAGGGATTTTGGTGCGCCCGTTTCCAAGGGCCTAAATTATGCGCGCCAAGTTTTGATGCCGCTAGCAACGACAAAGAGCGCATCTGTATTGTTACGTACACTATGACTTGAGCAGGCGCGCCTAGGCGGTGAGAATCATAAAACTGTTATAAATGATGTTAATATGAAAATGCTGTCGTATAGGTTTTAATTTGAAACAAATGTTCATTTATGTATTGCACAAATGCAGCCAATTTGTTCACAGCAATTCAAACGGTGCCGACTCCAGGGCAAAACCTGATGAAGGTATTTGACAAACTTTACTCCTTTTATTTTTGCCCCCCCCCCTCCCTCTCTCTCTCTCTCTCTCTCCCTCTCTCTCTCTCTCTCTCTTAATTTTCCCTTCTCTTATCCCCGTTCTCTCTCTCCATCTCTCTCTCTCTCTCTCTCTCTCTCTCACACAAACACACACACACAAACGCGCACACGCCCTCTTTCTCTCTGCCCCTAATTCCCGTCTTTTCACCATCTTCACCCTTTATATGCATGATAATGAACGTTCTATTTCCCATCTATATTCGCTCACCCACTTCCAACCTTCTCCCAAAAAAGATCATCTTTCTCTCCCTCTTTTGCTCGCTCCCTCCACTTTGACAAAATAGTTTGCAGTCACAATCTTAACATGAAAAATGATCCATATCAAACGAGCCCAAAGATGTTCATAACTATGTATAGAAGTAGTATTTGTTATATTTATTTCAAATCGAATGCACTTAACAAGGATACTTAATTTCTTGGTTCACTTGGTTATCTTATTTTCTTTCTTCTCCTTCTCCATTTATTTCTTTTTATATTTTTTACTAAAAAAAAAAAGAATAATTTAACCTTAACGTAATATTTTGCATGTATCAAGAGTATTACATTGTTTTGATAATATAGCACATTTCCAACGATATCAAATGGCATTTTCATCAACACATTCATAATATTTGCACAATATAAACATTCATAAAGTCTCGGTCACAAATGCCATTACGAACTGCTACGAACGCCGTACGTACGACTTTTAGACAATGGAAATTTGGGAAGGCAATGGAAAAACAGGAAGATTCGTACGAACCTTTGTGACCGTGGCTTTAGAAAGAGTAGAGCAGATACAAATTCTAGAAAAAGGTACTCTTTCGATTACAACAGTTGGCAACAAGAAAGGTAAATACAAGATAACGATACTACGAGTAATTGAGTCAAGTATGTTTTCCTCACATAATTATCTCACGAGGCTAAATACCTTTCCAAAAAAACGTTATTATTTCAGTGAATATAGAAAAGGCAAGATCGTTCATTTCCTTCTCAGTTACGAAAATAATTTTCTTCGTTTTCAGCTTTAAAATTTAATTTCAATTCAATAGTTTATTCATATTTTCGCCGCAAGTGTTGCCGAATCGTAAACATGTATATACAGAATAAAATCAGATAGACATCAGATAGACAAAATAGACATTCATCAAAATAGAAATTCTGATAAATATTGCGCGATATGTAAGCTGTATACTTATTATGCAAAACAAACTAATCATAAAATCGGTAACTGTGAAAATAAGGGCCCCGTTGCATAAAACTTTCTATTGATAGTAACTTTGCCATCAATGGCAACTACAATGGTAACAGGGCTCAACAGCCAATCAGAGTCAAGGCTTCCATCGTAGTTACGCTTGATGGCAAAGTAACCATCAATGGTAAGTTTTGTTCAACGGGGCACTGATTAGCCCTATCGTGCGTATATATATCACCATGATCACAAATGTCTAAATCCTTACGTTGCACTCAAAGCGTTGTTTTTATGACAAAACACGGCGTCAATTAGAACTTGTGCGGTGGCATCATACGAAAAATGACAGGAAGATGAACAGCTAGTACAGACATTTTGTTTAATTATACTAGATAACTGCTAGGATGCAGACTTGCCAAGGCCCCGTTGCATAGAACTCACCATTGGTGGTACTCTCTAAAACAAAATCGAGTGATCACGGACGTCACTCCTCTGGAGAGTGAAAATGTAGTGAAAATAAAGTGAACATTCACTCTTTTCTTCTTAGAGAGCACTCTAAAATCAATCGATTTTCACTCCTAAACAAGTGATCACGGACGTCACTCCCAAGAAAGTGAAAATAGAGTGAAAATTCACTCTTTTTTTTTTAAGAGAGTAACTTTGCCATCAATGGCAACTACCATAGTCACTGGCGTACTGGTGGGGGGGCTTGGGGGGCGCCAGCCCCTCCCCCCCCCAAAAAAAAATAAAATTGAACCATGACCAAGTAAAGAAAGAGAAGAGAAGAAAGAAGGAGAAAAAAAAGAGGAAGGAGAGGAAAGAAAGGAAAAGAAAGAAAAGAAAGAAAAGGAGAAAGAAAAAAAAGGAGAAAGAAAAAAAAGGAGAAAAAGGAAACATAAGAAAACAAACAAAACAAAACAAGACAAACGAAAGAGAGGAGAGAGAGAGAGAGAGAGAGAGAGAGAGAGGTTGGTATTAAGAGCCTAAGAGAAGATGGGTGGGAGTAAGAGAGCAAAGGGAATGTTGGGTGGAGTCGCCACGTCGAAGGGGCAAGAAAGATACGCATAGATAATTATGTTGCTGTGTCGGGTCCGCTGTGTCGGTATTCTTGCTCTATCTAGCTCGTGTACTATATCAATTTAGAAAGTTTGAAGTCGGCGAGATGTTTAATGTCGGTCGGCCGGCAATTTATATTTCTCCCTACAAACTGTGACTTTTTATCGGACAAAGAAAAGAAAAAATTAATTCAGACAATTTCTCTGATAATTTAATGAAACGTCAAAGCTTCCGCGCATCGCGCGGGAGGGAGGGAAACTGAATTCAGACAAAGTGAGTAGAAATCAGTACAACGAATCGTCTTCTTCTCTAATAAATTAATTAAACTTCAAAGCTCTCGCGCTTGGCGCGGGAGGGCGAAAACTGAATTCAGACAAGGATTAAGTGTCGAAAACAATACAACGAATCGTCTTCTTTCCCTAATAATTTAATGACACTACAAAGCTTCCGCGCTACGCGCGGGAGGGGGAAACTCTATTCAGACAAGGATTAAGAGTAAAAATTTAAGGAAACGGATCGTATTTTTTCCAAATAATTTAATGAAATGTGAAAGCAAGGATTAAGAGTAGAAATCAGTACCACAAATCGTCTTCATTCTCTTATAATTTAATGAAACACCGAAAGCTCTTTGAATCGTCTTCTTTCTCTAATAATCTAATGAAATGTCAAAGCTTCCGCGCTTTGCGCGGGAGGGAGGACACTGAATTCGGACAAGGATTGTAAGTCGAAAACAGTACAACGAATCGACCTCTTTCTCTAATAATTTAATGAAACGTAAAAGCTTCCGCGCTAAGCGCGGGATGGGCGAAAATGAATTCAGGCAAGGATTAAGAGTCGAGAACGGTACAATGAATCGTCTTCTTTCTCTAATAAATAAATGAAACGTCATAGCTTCCGAGCTTCGCGCGGGAGGGGCGAAACAAGAATAAAAAGTCTAGAACGGTACAACGGATCGTATTCTTTTTCTAATAATTTAATGAAGTATCAAACCTTCCGCGCGCGGGAGGGGGAAAACTGAAAAAATAACTTAGTTCCTGGCCCCGGGTTTACAGGGTTTAATTTGTAGACATTGGGACATTGGCATTAATATATTTGTCGGTAATTGGTGGCTCGTTTTGAAGGTAATCGGTGGCCTCTCCCCCCTCCCCCACTGAAAAAGATCTAGCAACGCCCCTCATAACAACACAGTTTATACACTCGATATAATTTTTAGTACAACTGGTACCGGACCACCGTCTTTGTGCATTGTGCGGCAACGTCATATTTCCAGGAAGTGTCGGTGGACTATTATTGCGCAAAATGGGGTTCTCATATTGTAAAAGATTCCTACTCTTGGAGGGGGTAGGAGAAAGCAATTTTATGTCATATTACTCCAGGAAGTGCCTGAAAAGGCGTCTAATGTGGTTCTAAAATTGCAAATGCTTCCTACTCTGGGAGGGGGTCAAAACCCCCTCCCAGACCCACCCCCGCTTGGTCGTTCCCCTCGCCGCTAAAGCCTCGCTCTGTCGCTTCATCAGGTTTTACATATATTTCACCCATGCCACCCCCGTAAGAAACTCCTGGATCCACCACTGGTGCCCATACCCATTAAGCTTCGGGGGCTCCGCCCCCTGACCCCCCTGATGGGGCTTAGCCCCTAGACCCCACTTTGAAAAACGTTCAGCGGGGCCTGCATGTTAGAGTGGGGTGATGCGGATTTTTTTTTTGTTGCCAGCCCCCCCAAACGTTTTTGCTCATTACGCCACTGACCATAGTAACAGAGCTCAACAGCCAATCAAAATCAAGGTCTCTATGGTAGTTACCATTGATGGCAAAGTTACCATCAATGGTAAGTTTTGTGCAACGGGCCCCTGATTAGCACAGTAAACAACTCAATCGGCTCATGTGGAACGGGGATAGGTAAGCGTAGGTGTCCAATTCCACTCTAGGAAGGATGGCCTGAACTTCAAGGATCCACTCCTTGTTCCGGAAAACCAACGTACCCCTATCACAGGTAGGTCTGTGGTAAGGAGTCCAGCTGTGAAAAAAGAAAAATAAGACGGGAAATTGGTTCCATAATAGAAAGAAAAATAAACAAACTGTACTTCAGCGTTGGAAATGAAAAGAAATACTGAAATTGAAATTCCGTTAACAAAAATATTTTGGGAACTTTGTAAAAAATTCAACTCTCCCATTGATTGCTTGGATTATTTGAAATGTTAAAACTCAGTTATTATTATTAGAAAGTGTGTTTGTAGTGGCTACATGAAACTTCATCTCATTGAGCGTAAGTAAATGATGACTCTTTTCCTTTTCTTTTCTTTTCTCTTCCATTTGTTGTTGTCTGAATGCAAATAAAGACTTGTTCATGCTAAAATTTAACGAGATTTAGTGTTGATCCAAACTGACTTACGAATTCTTCCGTAGGTTGTTCGGCAGATCTCCTTCTTTCGTGTAAAGGTATGGTGGGAGCTTCGGGAATATACATTATGGAATAGTCAATTCTGTCGCGTAATGAGTTCTGTCAGTGATTGAAAATATGAAAGTTAAAGGAGATGAACAGAATGATAATTTGTTTACTCAACTCAAAATCAAAAGTGAATAAATTGTATTTTCTGATCTACCAAACTTAAGAACTAGAACATTACAGTAACGGGAGAGGTACTCTAAAAAAAAAAAAAAATGATTAACATGATTTAGGATGGGGAAGGTGAAACCGTGAAGGCAGGCTAATGGTCTGAGATAAAGGCAGAGTGTACAAAGTACAGTGTACATTTAGACGTAGAGATAAGGGAGGAGGGGGTCATTAAGATGGAGGGAGAGGGGGAGGGGAGGGGGGCAACGGGTGAGGCATAGTAATTGCGAAAGTGATGAGATAAATGGACTCGCTATTGAGTCTTAGACAAAGAAAATACAGAGGGAGACATAACTTCCCAAAAATAGTGGCGTTTGACTTACATTTAAAGGGGCCGATCTTTTCAAGAACTTTGAAATACTTTCCATTCTTAACTGTAGCTCTCTATCCATCTCCTCCGTTACAAGAACCTCCTCACATTCAAAGGGCTGGACACCCGTATGTATGAGCTCAGTATCCGTTCGAGAACGAGGCGATTCAGTCATTTCTTCTTCATGGTGGACTTCGACCAGAGAGCCTTCTGATGAAGAAGATAATTTATATCATCAACATTTTTTTTTTTTTTCGATTCCGATTTTGATTGAATACTTTCGTAAATTTAGGATTAATTTATAAATGACAGTAGTTTTATGTTTTATATGAAAGAAACTGCTTCCTGTTGAAATTTGGTTTACAATGAATCAATCAGTATTTCCATTAGAATGTAGTTCAGTTTTCTAGTCCTGGGACCCGTTTCACAAAACTTGTCATCAGTTACAAATGACAGTCTTTGTTATAAGCTACTGAAGTCCTTGCTTCTGATTGGTTATTAGCAGATTTGTCACTGACTTTTGTCATTTGTCATTGAAAAAAAGCACTTTGAAATTGTCGGAGTGTATTTGAAAAACAATAAACATTTACAAATAGCTACACTGATTCATTATCTGTCATGACAAAATACATATCATTTCAAACAAAATACGGTATGTATTAGTTTTTCACTGCTGCACATCCTTTTATAATAGTTAATGGATAATTTAAAATGTAAATAGCGAATAAGTATAACGACTCAGCAAGTATGGCCTTACCTGCTATTTATACATTTAACATGCCTTTTTATCAATATATTTTACAAATATCTTTGGCTGAACGACCCACCTCTCTTTTCCAATGTGCTATGCTGACTTATATAAGAGATGCCTTCCACGTCATTCTTCTTCCGGTAGCCGTATCCTAGCAACGTAGACCCCACCTCCGAGCTGGTTGCGATGAAGTCATCTGATCGCCTACCGATAATCCTTCTGTACAGCCGCGTTATGCAGAGAGCGAGGAGAATGATGAGGATGATGAAGATGACGACGATTCCGAGGATGATTAAGACTTTGATCCGGATTGCTGTGATAAGAAAATGATTAATTGAAGCCCCATAACGCACATGTAGGACTACTAACTCTTAAAGGAAGGGACACCCATATAGAATCATCCGTACACACTATCTCTCTCAATTTAAAGGAGTACAAATCCAATGTTTTATAGGAGACAACCCTTCTACAGATTCAAAACAAATCCAAACATAGCAGAATCCACTTCAGAATGAAAGAGGATTCGACTACTTTTTAGTAAGCATTTCCACTCCGGACGAGGTGATCACTAATAACACCCTCTCCCCCAAGAAGATGTCCACTAATTTACATGAAGAGAATGAGAAAGTGATCGGGTATCTCAGTGTCGGGCCGTTACCATGATTACTGTTTTTTTGCTCAGTGGAGTATTTGGGGTGAACGTGGCCCATTATCTTTCCCGTAAAAATATCCCTCCATTAAACACGTTCCCTCCCCCTCCTCCTTACCCTAGGAGACATGATTAAGGAGTTAAGAGAAGAGATATCGATCTCATATTATGTGCCCCCCACACCCAGTCTGTCTGTCTCTCTCTCTCTCTCTCTCTCTCTCTCCAGGTTAGACATTCTGTGGGAGGCCGTTCATGCCATTGTTTGCTCTTACAATTTACTGACATTAGTCTCTCAAGGGACGTATAAATGATGGTCACAAATCTACAGAACTTACATTTGTTGATAGTTCATTATTGAAGGAAAAAATATATCATCTAAAGATCATAACCGACAGACCAATCGGCAATAGTGAGAGCAACCAGTGGCACGAATGGCCTGCCATAGTAAAGTCCCACTGAAAATCGATCTTTGTCTTTGTGAAACACCCCCAGGTCTGACTCTCAGATCGCTTTTGATTGATGTTTCATCCATACATTCTGCATTTTAAAATTCATACACAAATCAATTTATATTTTGCTGTTCGGAGCATTTCTACTGAATTCAACAAATTGCTTTCCACCATCTTGTCGTGTCTGGTACAACTTACCTAAGCTCGACTTTGGAGCAGGGTGAATGGCTGCAAAAAGAGAGAAACATGAAGTGAGCTCATCTTATATTTCAGTATTAGTATAATTGTTATCTGTCATTCACATTGATTTAGAATAAAAGTAATCTATAAAATATTTGTGACTACAATACATCTACATCTGGTCATGCGATTGCATTGTGAAAGAAACATTGTGGAATCGATCAGAAAAGGTTGATCATCTAGCATATAAGTATTTGTGTGTACTGCAAGGTTTTGGAATCATCAAAATTATAAGAAACTTGGCCCAGTCTTCGTAAAGTTACAAGCACTGCACACAGAAAGATGAATTCATGTATGAAACTATGCGATATCTATCCAGGCTGGATAGATATAATAATTTACCAAATATCCATTAGTAGGCGGTTTCCCGGCAAACTTGGTATCATCACGTATTAGTCAAAACATATTCTTTCACATGATTGGTAATAAGAGCTTCCATTTCATTTTTGAGAGGAGGTCGTTTTCAAAACTTGTCTTTACCTTTTAGTTGTAAATATATTTCCACATGAACAAGGAAGACTAGACCAACATGCAGGACCAAGTCAGGTTGTTTATTAGAAATTGTAAAATTAGTTGTCACATAACTTTAGGAAAAAAACCCTGCTCTTTTAAATGCTATACTACACTGTAAAAGGTAATAGATTGTGATTTAAATAAATGAAATCATAAATCCAAACTATTGATTGATAATATCCATACCACTACAATAGCGACCCGGAAGTTGTTTCTCATAAAGGTCGTCGTAGCCAGAAGAGCATTCGCAGGTGAAAAGTGCCGACCCTCTATTGATACACTTGGCAGCTGGATCACAGTCAGATAGGTTTAGAAGACATTCATTGGCAGCTGGAAAAAAACAAAAAAGAATATTCCAATTTAGCGATGAAATGCAAATACTCCATATTTTTGTAGATATCAAGAATTGGAATTTCATTTTGTTTTACAAATTGCTAGCGTAGATCATAATTCTGTTTTGAAAAAAACAATTAGGAGACGTTCCTTATCCTCCTATTGTTAAGGATGTCGGCCTTGATAATTCAAAACAGTACTAGGGAAATTAACAATAATAAGATATCCTCTTTATAACCATGCTTGTTGTGGGGATTTTTTCACATTATATTGAGTTGAAATTATATTTTTATATCATGTTATATAAAATCCTAACGTGGGATCTACTCGATAAAGTACAATGTTATAGGACTCCCTCTCGCACCCTGCCCCCGTTCAAGCAAATAGGAAGATTTATTTAGTCAAATTTTCATGCACGGAGGAAGTTATGTCCCCCCCCCCCCCACCCCCACCCCCACCACCAATCATAATGCCGGATACCTTCATTGGATCAACCCACGTTCCATCACAGGTCATCATCATTATTATCATATGAATAGGACCACCATTTCAACTTACGTTCATATTCAACCAGAGATGATTTAAGAGATATCTCTCGAGGAAATGTCATATTATTCTCTTCCAGATAGACTAAGGTCTCATTCGTCAGCATAGCTTCATTGATGTCTGGTGACATGAACTTAACCAAGTATTCAACAACAATGCTCCCTGGTCGAAAGGCTATGACGTCACACTGGTGGAATGATGAAGTTGTCTCTATGTGTGTTTTATACGCGAGTTTCATCTGTGATTATATTGAGAGAGGATATTCGATATATTTCAACCATGTCAAAGATTTTATAAATCACTAAGTGCATTTTCTTATTATAGAAAACACTGAATTTGTAATAAGAAATAATTATTTCCAAAAAAGCATTCCTATATGATAAAGCTCATACAAACTGTTAATCTACAAGTTTTGCTTTTCGTATGTCATTTTTTGTTTTTAATTTGTCAAAACACAAACGTAAAAATCATTGGTCCGTATTTTCTAAATTCGTATATACACTGGAATGCCAATCTTTATATTCATGTTATCTATTTTTATTATGCTTCTAATATTGATTTCAAAATGATATAATACATTGACAAAACTGTGTGGTTAAGACGGTAATGTTTATAGAAATCATTAAAATGAAAGGTTGTTTAATTTTGAATTTAAACAAAAATTGGTCTCCTTTATCTCATCTATTTGATGACCGAACATAATAAAACTAACTTGTATTATATATTTCACTGACTAAATATGATGTATCATTTTACGTACCGCTTGACAGAATTCGGCCACGAGTTCATTGAACTTTATAGATGACGGATCGTTCAGATCTGGTATAAATAAGGCCTCTTTTCCCTTAATCAAGACTATCTTTACGTCGGCTTTGAACGTGTATATCTCTTGAAAATGAGAGGAAAACAAAAATATTTAACGTGAAATACACAGCTTGCGATGTGTGTGATATGAATAACAATCGGCGACAATATTGATTTGATAAAGATACTTTTCTCGTCTTTTAGAAAGTTATTTCTCTGTGAACCCATTAGTCCCTCTTTATAACACACATTGTTACCACTTGCTATATCAGAAAACTTCCAATTGCCTGGACTTGAATTAATTACTACGTTGAACAAATAAAGCAACTTTTCAAACGTTCTCTTTCTTCATACAATGTTATGCATGACTTTATATACTGTATTATGCTGTTATTCGGCAAAGTGAAGGGGAAAAAACATTTTACCATGACCCTTTTGTAGTATCATTTCTGGGACAAATTAAGTTTTGATTAAGACGTATTTTGTAATGGTTATAAAACGAGTACTTCAAGCATAGAAAGAATGAATAAACTTAACTTGGTTTCATTTGATACATACCTATGCAGACGTTATCCACACGTTCATAGCCATCTAAACACCTGCAGGAATCGCCCTCTACGGAGATTATGCAAACTTCATTTGGCCCCTCGCATTTTACTCCACATTTCGTTTCTAAATAAATTGGGAATACAAAGCCATATACACAATATGATACTTGAGATGTCATGTTTCACAATGAATTTCAATGTTCCAAATTATCATTTGTATTTTTTGCCATTCTCTTCCTTAAAGGAAACTCCCCCTCCCCCCCCCCCCCCCTCCGACTTAACATGTTATATTTGACAGATTTATAAACAAAAAAACATTATATATTTTACAATACGCTGTTTTCTGATGTAAACTGTAGATGCATGAAAGAAGTAATACATAAGATGTACTTACTCATGGTAGCTGACGTAGGCTCTGATATGGACTGAGTTGGTTGAGTTGCCTTGACTTTCACGGTCAGGACCGATGCAGAAGTTGAAGACATCTGTGATGACAGTGACAGTAGAGTGTCTTTGTCAGTCCCAGTAGTGCTAGTGGGCAGTATGGTTGTGTTACTCTCAGTGGTAGATACTACAGAAGATATCATTGCTGTTTTTCGAGTTTGGGGAATGGATATGGGCAGTGCACTTGTGACGTGAGATACAGTTGCTCTTACTGACGACGTTGTCTGCTGCAATTCGATTTGTTCAATAAGTTCTTGAATTTCATCAGTAGTTGGAACCACTGCAATGTCTTCGGTTGAAAGGAGAATTGTAGGTGTGGACCGTAGCATGAGTTTGTCAGTCTCTGTTGTAGTAATCGACAATTCGGCTGTGAGAATGTCAGTGGTTGTTAATGCAGAAGCTGACATTGCTGTTGTTGGAGTCTCTGGCGAGGTTGTGGACACTTCGCTCATGGCTTGGGATGTGTGAGCATCCGCTAGTGGTGTTGTCTGTTGGATTTCGGTTTGTCCAATTACATCTTGTATCTCATCAGTAGTTTGAACCACTGCCATGTCTGCTGTAGAAAGGACTTTTGTATGAGGGGTGAACTCAGTTGTTAGACCTTCTCTCGTTGTACTTACTGGCAATGTGGTTAAGTGAATGTCAGTTGTTTGTAATTCTGAAGATTCCATCATTGTTCGTGCCGTCTTGATCGAAGATGTAGATATTGCGCCCGTGCCTTGAGATGTACTAGCATTATCTGGTGAAGTTGCATGTTGAAAGGAGGTTCGCTGAGTTACGTCTTGCATTTCATCAGTTGTGGGGAAAATTGCAATATCTTCAGTAGAGAGGGGAATTGTAGGTGTGGTAAGCCCCGTCGTTGTGCTTTCTATCATTGTACTAACGGGAAGTGCGGTTGTATGGAAATCAGTGATAGGACTCACTGAAGACGCAATAACTGTTGTTTTAGTCTTGAGAGAAGATGTTGACACTGTGCTCGAGACCTGAGATACCCTGCCACTATCTGATATTGTTGTCTGCTCGACTTCGGTTTGTTCAATTAGATCTTGCATTTCATTAGTTGTGGGAAACACTGCAATATCTTCAGTAGAAAGGAGTTTGGTAGGTGTGGTAGACTCTGTTGCTATGCTTCCTGTCATTGTATGGAAATCAGTGGTAGGACTCGCTGAAGATGCAATATCTGTTGTTTGAGTCTTGAGAGAAGATGTTGACACTTCGCTCGAGAACTGAGATACCCTGCCACTGACTGATATCGTTGTCTGCTCGACTTCGGTTTGTTCAATCAGATCTTGCATTTCATCTGTTGTGGGAAACACTGCAATATCTTTAGTAGAAATGGGTATTGTATGTGTCAACCCCGTTGGTGTGCTTTCTCTCATTGTACTAAAGGGAAGTGCGGTTGTGTGAATGTCAGTTATTTCTAATTCTGAAGATTTCACCGTTGTTGCTGGCGTGTTTGAAGAAGATGTAGATATTTCGGTCGTGACTTGAGATGTACTAGCATTAACTGGTAAACTTGTCTGTTGGAAGGAGGTTCGTTCGGTTACGTGTTGCATTTCATCGGTTGTGGGAAACACTGCAACATCTTCAGTAGAAAGGAGTTTGGTAGGTGCGATAGACTCTGTTACTGTGCTTCCTTTCATTGTATGGAAATCGGTGGTAGGAATCGCTGAAGATGTTATAGCTGTTGTTTGAGTCTTGTGAGAAGATGTAGACACTCCGCTCGTTACTTTAGATACAGAAGTATTGACTTGTGGTGTTGTCTCCTGGATATCGGTTTGAACCATTAAGTCCTGCATATCATCAGTAGTGGTAACCACTTGAATTTCCTCAGTCGAATCAGGAATTGTAAATGTGACCCATTCTGTTGCTGCCCCTTCTGTCTTTGAAGCATCGACCAATGTGGTTGTGTGGAGGTCAGTGGTCAGTACAACTGAAGATGCAACGGCTGCTGTTTGAGTCTTCGGTAAGGATGTGGAAGCTTCACTCGTGACTTCTGATATAGTGGCATTGACTGATGGTGATGTCTTCTGCATTTCGGTAGGTTCCATTAGGTCCTGCATCTCATCAGTAGTTGGAACCATCGGCACGTTCTCTGTTGAATCAAAAATCGTAAGTGTGACCCATTCTGTTCCTGCGCCTTCTGTAGTCGGGGTAACGGGTATTTCAGTTGTTGGAGTCTCTGTGAAGGGTTTGGACTCTTCGCTTGTGACGTGAGATGTACTCTCATTGCTTGGGGGTATTGTCTGTGGTATCAGGATTTGTTCAGTTACGTCCTGCATTTCATCGGTAGAGTGAACCATTGAAATTTCCTCAGTTGAATAGAGCATCATAGGTGTCGCCCAGTCTGTTGTATCGCCTTCAGTAACACCAGTATTAAGATCAACAGTAAGGTCATATGGTGTGTAGGGAGTCGTTATTATCTCGGATGAAAGCAATACAGAGTGTAAGGGTGCGGTGTATGCTGCACGAGTGGTTTCAGTGATGTCTGATGTCTCATGTATTTCTGTAATCCCTAAAGTTGAAGGCTTAGAGGTTGACTTCGCTTCTTTCGTATCATAAAGACCGCCTAACATTTCATCTGTAGTTATTTCTGACGTGTGGTATATTTTTTCCTTTGATACAGGTTGGCTTACGACAGTTTGTAAAATGACTGGCATGGCTGTCGTTTTTTCTCTTGTAGAGGTTGTGTCTGTTCGAGGAAACACGGTTTCCTGTTTGGGCACCATTGAGGGCCTATGTCTCTCTTCAGTGCCTTCAGATGTAAATGATTCATCAACAACGTCAGTAACTGTCAGTAATTCTGTTTCAAATATTGCAACTGTACTATCAACGGGTAAACGGGAGAACTCTGTTGGTTGGTCAGTACTAATCGTTTCAAGTCTCTCTTTGCTACCCTCGCTTACAGCGAATCTCCCCCTAGTCGTCAAAACCATTGTATTAAATTCAGGTTTTCCCGTCATGAGTGTCGTTTTGATTTGAGAAGTCACTTCTGCCATTTTAGGTGGTGTGACTGAAGAATCGTTAGTGGGTAATGCTGTTGATGGTATCCCTTCCTCTCCTTTGGACACCGTGTCAGTAAGATGAACTGATGGAGAGGTCGAGGTCTCTGCCCATGTTACATCAGGAAATTCAATAGTTACAAAAGCTGTTTCAAATTCAGCAATTGTTGTCGATGAATCAACAAATGGGAGAGGTGTACTTGATATTGCTGGCTTTCTTTCATCCTCTTCTGTAAATGAAATATCTGTTGTGGATTTTTTTTTAGTCGGATCGATCAAATCATATGAGAACAAAGTGGTTGGTTTTATTATTTCGGTTACAATATCAGTTTGTAGTGGAATGTTTGACGTTCTTGATTCAACCGTCCAGTTTAAAATGTCAGTCATGAATTCTGTGATAACAATCGTCTCTGCTTCTGTTTGCGGAATCTGGGTTGTCTCTGTATGGTGTTCTGCAATGTTTGAAGTTGACATCTGATCAGTCGTACGTTTTACATCTGTAGATTCTGTCTCAGTAGCAGGAGCCGTTGTACCTTCGTCCGGTACTAATGACTCGGTTGATTCATCTGTTCTGATAAATGTTGTCTGATCTGCAGAGTCTAATGTAGTGCCGTCAACTGGTAATATTGTCTCTGTTGATTCATATGTGTCAGTAATTAGATCTGTTCCGACAAAAGTTGTTTGTTTTGTTGTGTCCGTCACTTTATCTGTTACCATTGCCTCTGTTGCTTCATCATATGTGTCTGTTTTTAAATCGGTTCCGATGGAAGTTGTCCGTTCTGTAGTAAATGATGCATTGCCTTCTACTGGTAATATTGGCTCTCTTGTTCCATATGTGTCTGTAATTATATCTGTTCCGAGGAAAGTTATCTGTTCTGTCTGTTCTGTCTTTTCTAACATTATCTCGGACACGTATTTGCTGATAGAGCTTATGAGGGTAGCTGCTGGAGAGGAATCGGGTTTGAGCTCAGATGAATACTCTGTAGACACTACTTTCGTGCCTAAATCAGATACTGGTTTGGTAATCTCGATTCCTACCGTGCTTGGAATCTCTTCCGTGGTTTCGATTTTCTGTTCATCCGTGCCAAGTTTCGTTCTGCTAGTATCACCGTGTAATGTATCTGTCGTATCACTTAACATGTCTGTAAAGATATCAATAATATCAGTCACCGTTTCTGTGTCTATTGGCGTTGTTATTTCGTTTCCTTCTGAGGCAGTTTCTCTTGTAGGTACAACCGTTGAATGATCTTCTGTATATGTGAATTGCGTGTTGGTGGCTTCTATGATGTCAGCTGTTACGCTCTCTGTGATTTTAACTGTTGGGATTATGTCACTCGTCCTTTCACTGCCTGTTAAAGTGTAGGTTATAATGTCAGTATACCACTCGGCGTTTTCTGTGACCTTATTGTCGGGATTTATACGACTCGGTGAAGTAAGTCCAGTCATTTGTCCTGCAATGTATCCTGTCGTTCCATTAGAGACACTGGTTACAAGTTCTGTGAACGTGATGGTTCCTCCAGGTGTCGTATCTGGCATTTCAAATGGCTTGTCTGTGGTTCTCTGTGGGATGTCCTCTGGTGCGGTTATGATTTCTTGTGGACTACTCGGTCCAAGAGTGTGATTATCAATATATGTTACTTCCTGAACTATTTCAGTCAACGTAGGCGTGGTAACAGTCTCTTCAGTTTCAGTTTCCGTTTGTGAATGGGTTCCTAGTGAAGCAGTTCCATCAGTTGCTACTTCCCTTAAAATACTATCTAATGTGCTTAAAACCTCCGACTTGCCTGACATTTTAGGCCGAGTTGATATATCTGTTACTGTTTCAGTGGCAAAAGCTGTATATGTTGCTTCTCTTGTTGCATCAGGGAAGTCAGTGGTCATCCTTTCTGTTTCTCTCATTGGAATTATCTCACTAGTAAGGATGTTTATTAGTGGTTCTGTTCCTAGAGCAGGTGACGTGATATCGTCTTGTTTTAAAGATGTACTAGCATGATATTGTTCAGTACTCCTAAGATCATTGGTAATTTCTGTCGGCAAGCTTTTGATTGTACTTGACGGTAAAACTTGTGCTATTGGGTCACTGTCTGTTACAACGGATGTCAGAGGTTCAGTGTACCATTCAGTTCCTAGAATCACTTTGGTCTCCATAGTTATTGGGCTAGTTGTTGTAATTTTGCTCTTTCCTGCTTCAGTACTGACATCAATAGTTGCTGGTAATGTAGGTGAAGCAATATCAGTACCCTCGTCGGTGCCCATAGATGTATACAGACTGTCGGTGGTTTCCTTTACCTCTGAAACGTTCTGAACTGGGCTAACATGCAATGTGGTTGTTTGTGTCTTCTCATGGCTGGAACGTGTTGTGACATCACCTCCAATCAAAGATGTACCTTCAGTCGTGGCCAGAACGGAGACGTCGGTTAGGTCCTTATAACTATCTGTAATCGACGGTTTGTCGGTTGTTCTTGTGATATTAATCTGCCCATCTTTTGTAATGATATCATAAGATGAGGCAGTATCATTAGGTTTTTCCGATATCATAGACGTTACAATATCTGTATACCATTCGGTTTCTTGGGCCATCTTGCTGTCGGTAGCAAGTTTGTCTGCTGTTGTACTTCCAACTTTATGTTCCTCCGTGGTAGCCTCTGCAGGACTTGTACTTTCATCTGACTTACTTGGTTCTACAGTTTCATCAGTGCTAAAACTTGTGTAGTCTGCAGTAGTGCTTGCCGATCGTAGAGTTGAATTTTGCAGAGCTGTAGTAATCTCTGTGGCAGTGATGATGGACAATGGCGCTGTTGTAGAAAACTTCGTTTCTGCGGTATTATCTGGGCTAATAATGTCATCTCCTAATGTGTAATCGATAATTTCCGTTACAAATGTTTCAGCAGGTTCAGTATGTGTTTCTACTTCAGGATAGGTCGCCTTTTCCGAAGGGCTTTTATTGACCGTTGTTCTTAACTGTTGCTCGGTTGTAATTTCATCCTCTTCTGTGGCTGTTGTATCAGCTGTGACGGTGATAAAATCTGATCTCGGTGATTCTAAAGCGATTCTTTCCGTTAGAAGCGTCTCGAATGAAACAGCGGGAGTCGTATCACTGATATCTTCAATGGTTCCGAAATTTGTTACAAAATCAGACGTAGTCGTTTCACCTAGATTAGTACTTATCCATGCAGTTGCTTCTTTAGAGGTTATTTCGTAAGTAATTGGGGTTGGTATGGTCGCAGTTTGTCTGCCTACTCGTGAATCTGGAATGACAGTGCTTGTCTCTTCTTGCACGATGGATGTCATGACATCAGTATGCACATCTGTATGTACACCCTCCGTGGTATCAACTCCTATTCGGGTAGCTTCCGTACTTTCAGTAGTTTCATCTTCTGTCACAATGCCTGCCTCCCCTGCAAGGGTTTCTCGTCCACTTGGTGCGGTAGTATCATCAACAATGGCCGTCTCAAATTCTATTGAAGTAGATGTTGCCACTTCTGTCAAAGCTGACACACCAGTGGTGATGTACTTCGTTGTCGTTTGTGTTGGGCTCTCTTCTTTGGTTTTTGAAATTATTGTACTCCCAAGATCTGTAGCATGGCCCCTAGGTCCTGCAACATCCGACCTTGCTAGACCTAAAGTTTGATCAGTCACGTATGTAACGATATCTGTACTTATTTCTGTCTCTGTTTCTTTTCCTGACATGGTACTTTGGTATTTGGTCGTGATACTTTCCATTGAAGTCGTCCCATATGTTTTAGGTGGTGTCCCATCACGTTCAGTGGCTCTTAGTTCTGTTCTTATTTCGGGCGCTGTAATATCCTTTACTATAGTAGTTGCGTCTGATATGCCTAGTTCAAAATGCCTTGTTACTTCTGTAGCTGCTGGTGGCATGATCGTTCCATTTTCAGCTGATGAATCCCGAACAGTTTGTGTTACTTCTGGTATAATGGTTGACACAACATCAGCATACATCTCTGAGTCGATAGTCTCCTTACTATCTGTAGTTATGTTGATGTTGTTTGTCTGATCGGTCACTATGTCTTGTGTAACGATTTCTGTAATTGCAACTGATCTACTAGGCTCAGTTGTCTCTCCTAGTTCATCCATAAAAAATCCCTCAATGGTAGTCAATTCGATCGTTCCACCACCTGGACTCGTAGACATTGATGCAGGATCAGCGGTTTCTGTAACGAGTTCCGTTTCGATCACAATATCAGAGTGAGTCCTCTCTGTAGTAGATTTCACCATCTTTTCTGATGTTACCTCATTGGTCGGGAAGCCTGTTTCTGAGGATTGTGGCACCACATCTGTAGAAAACTCAGTTGTCGGTTCCCCTGTTTCTATTGTGAGTCTTATATTTATCTCCTTTTCCACGTTCGTTGTGCCCGCAGACGATTGCCCGGTAGGTCTGTGGGAAGTGATTGGATCAGTTCTTGGTATCAAAGTCGTTTGAAGATCACTAGGTAACTCGGGTTCCTGGGTACCTTCAAATTCAGTTGTCATAATGGTATCGGGATATCGACTGGCTGTTGTCTCAGTAACCTCGTCTCGTTGATATCCTCTGTGGCTCAATATTTCATCTTGGGTGTTTGATAAGAGGGTTATATCGACGATATCTGTTACCAATTCTGTGATAGTATCAATACCAATTGTTGTCTTTGCAGTTGCACGTTCCTGGTAAGTAGGTGTCCCTAGTGTTACAGGTTCACTTGTACTTGAATCCAGGACTGATATTGTTGATGAAGATGTTTCGATATCATTGAGGGTATCAGGGGTCAATGTAGCTTCTCCTTCTGTTACGTCTGGCAATGTAATTGATTTATGTTGAATAGCAAGTTCACTACTGACCATCTCTGTCATGACATTAGAAAATGTCTCATATACCGTACTTAGTGTGATAGCATTTATTTCCGACGTTGCATTTCCATCACTGGTCACTGGGATTAGCTGTGAAACTTCTGAAAGAGACTGTGCTGTTGTTATTCCATCTGTCATAATACTTGCCATTATGTCAGTATCTAGGTCCTCATTTAACGTTATAGGAGTCCTTGACTCATCTGCAGTCTCTCTTGTGCTTGAAAGATATGGTTCGCTGGTACGCTCGGTTTGACTTGTAAACTCTTTAGTCGTAAGTGGTTCAGATGTCCCCTCGCCTAGATCGTTTACTTCTGTAAAAATATCAACTTCTTCTGTCGTTTCTGATACGGTCTTTGTGGTTCTAGAAGTATTAATGTCCTCTGACGCTTCCCATTTGGAAGGAAGATTGGGTTCGGTAATAAAATCGGTTTGACTCGTTAGCTCTTCAGTCTTAAGTGGTTCAGATGTCCCCTCGCCAAGGTCGATTACTTCTGTGTTAGTACTAGCTACTTCTGTGGTATATGTTAAGATCTTTGTGGTTCTTGGAGACTGTATGTCCTGTGACGCTTCTTTTGTGGTAGATAGATAGGGTCTGGTAATAAGCTCGGTTTCACTTATTGTTAGCCCCTCGGTTTTAAGTGGTTCAGATGTCCCATCGCCAAGGTCGGTTACTTCTGTGAGAGTTTCAACTACTTCTGACGTATTTGGTGCGGTAATTGTGATATATTGCGTGGTTCTAGGAGTATTTGTGTTCTCTGTAGCTTCTCTTGTGGTAGAAAGATAGGGTTTGGTAATATATTCGGTTTGACTTGTAAACTCTTTGGTCGTAATTTGTTCAGATGTCCCCTCGCCAAGGTCGGTTACTTCTGTGAAAGTATCAACTACTTCTGTCGTACCTGGTGCGATAATTGTGATATATTGCGTGGTTCTAGGACTATCTGTTTTCTCTGTAGCTTCTCTTGTGGTAGAAAGATAGGGTTTGGTAATATATTCGGTTTCACTTGTAAACTCTTTGGTCGTAAGTGGGTCAGATGTCCCCTCGCCAAGTTCGGTTACTTCTGTGAGAGTTTCAACTACTTCTGACGTACCTGGTGCGGTAATTGTGATATATTGCGTGGTTCTAGGACTATCTGTTTTCTCTGTAGCTTCTCTTCTGGTAGAAAGATAGGGTTTGGTAATATATTCGGTTTCACTTGTAAACTCTTTGGTCGTAAGTGGGTCAGATGTTCCCTCGCCAAGGTCGGTTACTTCTGTGAAAGTATCAACTACTTCTGACGTATCTGGTGCGGTAATTGTGATATATTGCGTGGTTCTAAGAGTATTTGTGTTCTTTGTAGCTACTCTTGTGGTAGATAGATAGGGTCTAGTAATGTTCTCGGTTTGACTTGTATGCTCTTTGGCCGTAAGTGGTTCAGATGTATCCATGATAGAGTCGGTTATTTCTGTCAAGGTATCAACTACTTCTGTCGTATATGGTAAGATCTGAGTGATTCTAGGAGTATTTATGTCCTCTGAAGCCTCCAATGTGGTAGATAGATAGGGTCTGGTATTTTGCTCGGTTTGACTTGTAAACTCTTTGGTCGTAATTTGTTCAGATGTCCCATCCCCAAGATCGGTTACTTCTGTGAAGGTATCAACTACTTCTGTCGTACCTGGTGCGATAATTGTGATATATTGCGTGGTTCTAGGACTATCTGTTTTCTCTGTAGCTTCTCTTGTGGTAGAAAGATAGGGTTTGGTAATATATTCGGTTTCACTTGTAAACTCTTTGGTCGTAAGTGGGTCAGATGTCCCCTCGCCAAGTTCGGTTACTTCTGTGAGAGTTTCAACTACTTCTGACGTACCTGGTGCGTTAATTGTGATATATTGCGTGGTTCTAGGACTATCTGTTTTCTCTGTAGCTTCTCTTCTGGTAGAAAGATAGGGTTTGGTAATATATTCGGTTTCACTTGTAAACTCTTTGGTCGTAAGTGGGTCAGATGTTCCCTCGCCAAGGTCGGTTACTTCTGTGAAAGTATCAACTACTTCTGACGTATCTGGTGCGGTAATTGTGATATATTGCGTGGTTCTAAGAGTATTTGTGTTCTCTGTAGCTACTCTTGTGGTAGATAGATAGGGTCTAGTAATGTTCTCGGTTTGACTTGTATGCTCTTTGGCCGTAAGTGGTTCAGATGTATCCATGATAGAGTCGGTTATTTCTGTCAAGGTATCAACTACTTCTGTCGTATATGGTAATATCTGAGTGATTCTAGGAGTATTTATGTCCTCTGAAGCCTCCAATGTGGTAGATAGATAGGGTCTGGTATTTTGCTCGGTTTGACTTGTAAACTCTTTGGTCGTAAGTGGTTCAGATGTCCCATCCCCAAGATCGGTTACTTCTGTGAAGGTATCAACTACTCCTGTCGTACCTGGTGCGGTTATTGTGATATACCGCGTGGTTCTAGGAGTATTTGTGTACTCTGACGCTTCTCTTGTGGTAGATAGATAGGGTTCGGTAATATATTCGGTTTCACTTTTAAGCTCTTTGGTCATAAGTGGGTCAGATGTCCCCTCGCCAAGATCGATTACTTCTGTAAACGTATTAACTACTTTTGTCTTATCTGATAAAATCTTAGTGGTTCTAGGTTCTGTTATGTCCTCTGAAGCCTCCGATGTGGTAAATAGATAGGGTTCGGTACTTTGCTCGGTTTCACTTGTAAACTCTTTGGCCGTAAGTGGTTCAGATGTCCCCTCGCCAAGGTCGGTTACCTCCGTGAAAGTATCAACTACTTCTGTCGTATCTGTTACGGCAATTGGGGTTGTAGGAGCATTTATGTTCTCTGAAGCCTCCGATGTGGTAGATAGATAGGGTCTAGTAATTTGCTTGGTTTGACTTGTAAACTCTTTGGTCATAATTGGTTCAGATGTCCCCTCGCCAAGGTCGGTTTCTTCTGTGAAAGTATCAACTACTTCTGACATATCTGGTGCGGTAATTGTGATATATCGCGTGGTTCTAGGAGTATTTGTGTTCTCTGTAGCTTCTCTTGTGGTAGAAAGATATGGTTCGCTGGTTTGCTCTGTTTGACTTGTAAGCTCTTTGGTCGTAAGTGGTTCAGATGTCCCCTCGGCAAGATCGATTACTTCTGTAAACGTATTAACTATTTCTGTCGTATCCGGTAAGATCTTAGTGGATCTAGGAGTCTTTGCGTACTCTGACGCTTCTCTTGCACTAGAAAGAAAGGGTTCGGTAATATGTTTGGTTTGACTTGTAAACTCTTTGGTCGTAAGTGGGTCAGATGTCTCCTCGCCAATTTCGGTTACCGCTGTGAAAGTATCAACTACTTCTGTCGTATCTGTTACGGCAATTGGGGTTGTAGGAGCATTTATGTCCTCTGAAACCTCCGATGTGGTAGATAGATAGGGTCTAGTAATTTGCCCGGTTCGACTTGTAAACTCTTTGGCCGTAATTGGTTCAGATGTCCCATCGCCAAGATCAGTTACTTCTGTAAAAGTATCAACTACTTCTGACGTATAAGGTAATATCTTAGTGGTTCTAGGAGTCTTTATGTCCTCTGACGCTTCTCTTGTAGAAGAAATATAGGGTTCGGTAATATATTCGGTTTGACTTTTTAGCTCTTTGGTCGTAAGTGGTTCAGATGTCTCCTCGCCAAGTTTGGTTACTTCTGTAAAAGTATCAACTAATTCTGACGTACCTGGTGCGGTAATTGTGATGTATTGCGTAGTTCTAGGAGTAGGAGTATTTATGATCTCTGTAGCTTCTCTTGTGGTAGAAAGATAGGATTCGGTAACATATTCGGTTTCACTTGTAAACTCTTTGGTCGTAAGTGGTTCAGATGTATCCATGATAGAGGCGGTTATTTCTGTCAGGGTATCAACTACTTCTGTCGTATCTGGTAAGATCTTAGTGGTTCTGAGTTCTTTTAAGTCCTCTGAAGCATCCGATGTGGTAGATAGATAGGGTTCGGTAACATATTCGGTTTGACTTGTAGACTCTTTGGTTGTAAGTGGTTCAGATGTTCCATCGCCAAGGTCGGTTACCTCTGTGAAAGTATCAAATACTGCTGATGTATCTGGTGCGGTAATTGTGATATATTGCGTGGTTCTAGGAGTATTTGTGTTCTCTGTAGCTTCTCTTGTGGTAGATAAATATGGTTCGGTCGCACGCTCCGCTTGACTCGTAAGTTCTTTGACTATCCTTGATTCGGACGTCTCCACGACTATTTCCGTGAAAATATTGGCTGCCTCTGTAATGTCTTGGAAGGTCTGTTGGACATATGTCGTTTTTCTTTCTTTCGCTTGCTCGTCGGTTAGACCAATGACCGACGATGATGGTATTTCAGTGATGTATTCGTTTTGGACCGTAAGCTCGTCCGAAGTCCTAACAGAATAACTTGATGTTGTAGTTTCACTGGGGATAGCTGGTGTTACACCTGGCAATGAGACTATCCCTCCTGCTGTTGAGTGTAAAAAGGTAGGCTGTGGGTATTCATCTGTAACAGTACTTGTCAGCTGCTGTTCGGTGATTAGTTGCTCTTCAGTAGAAAAGTCTTTAGTACTCCCTGTCGGTAACAATGTCAGATTGAAGATTTCTGTCACTCTTTCTGCTGTTGTATGTTTCGTTTCATTTGCCATATCTGGCAACGTCCACTGGTGGTCACTCGGGGTTGTGTGTGTTGTTAATGTACTTGATGTAGAAACTGATGTTGCTTCAGTAGTGTCCAGAACATTAGGAGATGTTATTTCTTTTCCAACCTCTCTCAAAGTTGTTAGAATATTTCTGATAGTAACTGGCAGATTTGTAGGACCTTTATCCGTCGGTTCTTGAAGTCTCCCCGTTGTAATCGGAGTCCTTACCGTGGATGTTGTAGACAGATCAGGAGAGGTAGATTCCTGATCCGTTGTTTCAACTTGGGCTGGGGGGATTGTGGTTTCGCTTTGAGTTGGGATTTCTTTCTGAGATTCGCTTTGGGTTGGTTCTACAGTGAAATAGACAATAGTGTAAAGTATAAGACATGGAAATATATTATCTTCGATTCTGTGGAGTCCTACGAAAAGGAAATAATCATGAAGAAATATAATTTGAAGTTTTGCCAATATTTCATTGGATTCAAGAAGAAATATGAGATCATATTAAAAGCAAGCATATTATGAAATAAAAATGGAATTTGCTAAACATATGCAGATGATTTAGTAACCTCTTTATTTACAGTGTTTAAATTATTGCAATTTAAATGTATTTCTTTATACAACATTAAGAACACAGTATGAACAATAAACAGAGCGTATATTAACCCTGCTGGCACGATGGCGAACCCGAAGGTATCCAACTTCCGTTGTCACATCTCGTTACATTAACACCATTGATCACGTAACCAGGTAAAGAGCATGATAATGCGATGATATCCCCGTGATCGTAGAGACCATCTTGATCAGGTGAGAAAGATAGATGTAGACCACCGTCTGCGCTAGATGGCATCTCACATTTGTCTTTTCATGCGAAACAAGGAAATAAAACCGAACAATGTCATTCCAACAAACATTTCAATCAAACATAATGCATACTACCAGATCATAATGCGAAAATGGGTCCAACTATCATGAATATTCAGATGAAAGCGGTTGGTTATCAGAAAGTGCTGCTATGTTTATATAGAACTTTGGCGTTGCTTACAAAATACATGGAGTGCATCATCTGGCCAGTATTAAACACATGCAAACTGTTCAATATTATGCATAATGCGAAAACTATTTCATGTTGTCTGTTATCGAGTGAATTTAAAAGATATATACATTTTAAAGTCGATATCAAACTTCATACTCGCTTTGTTTACTATCTTCTTTTTTTTAAATCTGGGACCCTGTCCACAAGCGGATTTGATTTTACAGGTTTCCCATCATTGTATATTGTGACTTTATTGCTGTATTTTCCCCTATGTTCACATTGTTTTAAAATGGAAAATAAATGAATTTGATGAAATTGAATACCAAAACATTCGAAGGGCGGTTCCCATGATCCATCACGACAGGTAACTGTTGCTAGAGGAGGTTGAGTGCTTCGGGCTGGGCAGGAGAAAGATGCAACATCCCCGTCGCTGTAGATCCTCACGGGAGTCGCAAGATCAGGAGATAGACAATCGGCTGACAAGACAAACGTATAATGATGAAAGCATGTGTGCGGACAGTAAAGAACTTTTAGGAAGAATACAATCACAAATTAAATCTACTCAAGGGTAATTTTCAGCATATATCCTCCTGTATTGCCTATATGAACCCTTTTTATTACATAATATATCGTTGTAATGTTTGCACAGACCAAATGGTCATGCACCAGGCTACTAATATTGGATTCAGGTGGTTTTCGAAAGTCTTTGCGATCGTTTTAAATGTTTATGTTGCCTACAGCTTTACCAGCTTGCTTTCATGTAGCCCCCATCATATTTCTCTCAGTTAATTCAGTACTCTTTATTGACCACTTATCTTTATGTTATTTATTATGTATTATTGATTGTTATTTTATCACTCAAAAAACAAACTTGTACTTTATTTTGAAATGTATATGTAACATGAAAAATATGAAAATAAATGAAATTAAATTAAATTAATAACGATTATTGATTCAAGTACCGATTTTGTTTTTATTTTTACGAGCATGAATTTCGTGTGCGACAAAGGACTGAATGTAAAGTGGATTTGTGTGTTTTTGTTTTTCGTTATGGATGTCATTTTCTTCTTCTTTTTTGCCCCCCCCCCCCCCCAACCATACACCATAGAAGGCCGGATGGTTTAGTTGTCATATGGATATGAGAGGTCACAGGTTCGGGAGGCTCGTGTCACTTGACGATCTCGTTGGAGGGATTGAGGCATCACTTACCCATGCACTCTGGTTGCGAAGCCATCACAAGGTCGCCATCACTGCATGTCACCATGTCCGACCCTCGCAGTGTGGCGCCCTCAACGCAAGAAAGCGATATAACCTCATTGTGGTCGTAAAACGATTTGGCACCTTTGTTCTCCGACACATGTACGATGTCCGTAGGGAAAAGATCTGAGGGGCATTGGTCTGGAGAAGGAAGAGAGAATGAAATCATTCGGTTTCTGGTCATCGGATACAATTATTGTATGAAATAAATTACATGTAGTTTTCCGGTATTTCTATAACGGTGTTTTCATTTCTACAAAAATATATCAAAGCAATCTGATTGTTCTAAGAACATGTCTGTCTAATCTTGCTTTTCATTTCTTTAAACCAATGAGAACATAAAACATTAACTCTTCCCCAGGCGTATATATTTTTTAATGCTCTTGCTTTTCAAAAATAAAGATTGGGTTTTTATAGGCATCATTGGATTTATCCTATATATTTGATACCCCGTTACACAAAAACACATTGTTTTGTATTCAATTATGTCGATTAAAATACCCAAATATAAGTAGTCGTCTAATCAATCAAATAAACCTAATACATGTAGAAGTATTGTATCTTTCTGCTCGTTAAGAATAACATGAGACTTTAATTTTGTTCTAGGTTTTGGGTAATTATATAGAGACAAGCATTATATAACAGAAGGAATTCAATTATGTAAATTCTGCTACAGTCCCCAAAAGTTAGATAGAATCATCAAAACATATCCTATTCCTCACTTACCATAACAAATAAAAGTACTCGAATCTGGAATCCATGTATTATTCCCAATGCAAACACTGAATTGCGTCCCTGATGGTGTGTAATGCCCTGTGGAGTTGCAGCTAAGGATGACGACAGAGCTCAAACTATAGTTCCCGGATGTAGACGTTACTACACGTGAAGCATCGCTGATGGGAAGGGAACTGCAAGCTTACAACAACAACAAAAATAAGAAAGAAGGTTATGGTACGGAAAATGTTTCCATAATAACAAGTAATAAACATATCAATCAAATGAACGCGATGGCAATCCAGCATGACAAATGTTCGATGCCGTGGCGTCATTTGCATCATGTATGCAATTAGCCCATACATTAGTTATCAAATACTGATCTGCAGGCCCGTATCCATGTGGGGGGGGGGGGGGGATTCCAAGATCGGTTGAACTGTTTTAGACCCCTCCCCAGGACGTCGATAAATTACATGTATGTGCCCCCCCCCCCCACCCTACCCCCTAAACATCAAACTCTCGCTACGGCCCTGCTGATCTGCACCTTTCATAATGTGCATTTACATTTCAAATGATCACTTTCACAGGTCGCGTGAAATGCCGCGCCCTTCAGTGACGCCATCCTAAGTCAGACAAAATTAATGACGCCTCGTGTGCATAAGGCTTAATGTGATATAACGTCTCAAAATATTCCACCTATTAGTATTACGAATATTGATGTTCGATTGAGAAGGAAACTGTCAAAGTCTACCATACAAGGTCAAGTTTCTAAACATTCATTTTTTTTACAGGACGATTTCCGAAGCGCTGCCCCTGTGCCTTTCCCCCTGGGCTTTGATTATAGTTAAAACTCCTCCTGAATTAATCGGCTATTGCGCTAAGAAAATATTAAGTACTGACATTCACCGATAAAATAGTTGATGAATGTAAACCTTTCAAATACCTTACAAAGAGTATGTAAGCGCTTTAGATACCAGGTGTAGAGCTATAGAGCTATTAAGCCTTTAATTCTACATTTAGTTCAGTATTCACTATTACCCTTTGAGTAATTTTGACACAAGAAAGTTTCATTCACCAAAAAGTAGCATATCCATTTCGCTCACTTACGCGCTCTCTGTCAGTTTCAATATAACTGGTACAACGTAAAAGCGTATTAATCGCCTTTTGGAGTTGAGACTGATTGGTTCTAGGTAAGTGGGAAACTTGATCTGCTTTCAGGGGATACCTCAGACAGACTGCTTGGATGGAACACAATAGACCCACCTTTAGCCTGGAACACTTCTCAATAGAAACCTGTTTTTACAATAACATTTCACCCGTCTTACGTTCCCTTCAATCAATCCAATGTTTCGTTGTCCCTTTCACCCAAGCACCCACAAAACACTAAATATTGGGAGCCTTCGATTTAAGCTCAGTCACACCGTCAAACCAAGTCCACACCGGCTCCAATCCGACAGACATGTTGCCATTGGGGTTAATGTAATTGTTTGATCAGTTATTGACAGTCTGGAGTCGGTCTCGTTTGATGTGACTTGGGTAATAGATGTGCAATACCACATTCATAACAACGAAACCGAAAACAGAACTATGAACACACAATTCTGTTGTACATGTTACTACGAATGACCGGGTAAAGTTCGGTTATTAGTCGGCTGGATGTCAGTTTGGCGGTGTGACCAGGGTACTTTATAGATATAAAACAATATATATTTAAAGTGTATCGGTAACATTGTTGAAGGTTAATGAAAAAAATGCGTAATTTTTGTATAAAATGTATATTCCTTTTACTGTACTAATACGCTAACGTGCAAAAAATCCTGAAAAAATTCTCAAACCACAAAGATATTTATGGTTTTTTTGTTTAAGGCGTCACTGTGCAACAACCTCTAACAGTAAATTCTCCCAACCATTTTAGATTTTTTTTTTCTATCCCTTTTCCCATGGAAATAAGATATAAGACAGGATTTAAAAAAATATTTCAACATTTAAATGTTTGGAATGGTATATGGCCAATTCATTGCTTTGTGACGAATTACATTCACCTACAATGTAATTAAATTAAACAAATAAAGTTGGGAAAATTAAAAAATCGATCAAATCAGTTGTTCCCAATTTTCATCATCAATAATGGTCTTTTCACTTAAACTTTAATCTTCAATTGTAAACCTGGCATTGAAGTCACTACCTTAGCACCATTCGCTCTCATCTGAACAATGTTACCAAGTCCCTTTAACCCATAGACTTAACACAGGGACCACCAGGTTCCAGTAAGCAATGGGTTAAAAGGTCAAGTGTCGTTTTAGCACTTTATATTGTATTTCATCTAGCTCATTGGCACAAGATAATATTCTGTTCATAAACAATCATTATAGATCGTATGAATAATAATACATAATACCAATATATACATACACGACAAAGGATTAGGTTAATCAAGTAGTATATCAGAAAATGGAGATAATGTACAGAGAAGTTAATACAGCTCGTTCGTTCGTGTCTCCTCAGATCAGTTTAGTTCTGTAAACTTTCTTAATTAAAATTAAATTAAATTAAATTAAGTGCAATGGCCGTTTCATTAACAAGGGCCAGGTCTCCATTTGTTCAACCCGTTCAGCTAGAATAAGTAGATAATTACGAAATGTTATGTCTAGTTTCCGTTAAAACAAACACCAACCCGCATAAGGAACTTATAGGGATTTTTACTATTTACCGGGACGTCATTGTGCTTAACAAAAGGTCGAGATCTCGTATTTTGCTAAACATTGACACGTGTTAATACCATAGCATGTACCTTCGAAATAGAAAACGTAGTGAATCAAAAAATCTCTTTTGGGTTTGGGTTCAATGGGGGATCCAGGGGTAGGAGGGGCACACCTACAATATTTATAAACACCCCTTTCCCTTTCTTTCCTGCTTTCCTGCTTGTTACAGATATTGCTCCCTGTCAGAGGATGCCGGATACTTCGTTGTGTTGATAATGTTAAAGCAATATTCGTGAGATTTCAGTTGAAATAAATCTACATGCAAGGAGAGAGAACGCAATAAATAATGACGTTTTTCTTCTAAAATTAATGTTGGGTGCAGCTATTATAATCAACTTACGTTCATGAGAACTATTAGTTTTATTTCCTAATGTTCAGCTTCATATTTACCTAAAAGGCTAAGGCGTTCAAGTAAAGAAAGGTAAGTAAAGAAAGGGATCCTTAAATTCAGCGTTCGATTCCTAACGATAATGTATAGGACTAAACAGGGCCAGTGCGTTAATTGAAGCATTGTACATTATACTTCAGTTCGATTGTTTATACCACTTAAAATATGTATGCTGGCAGTATTTATAGCTCAACTTGATTTTCAGCAATAAATCAATGACATGAATTGATGACAGGCCATGTTTATCCTACTCAAGTTTATTATTCGTCGAGAGTAACATGGCAGATAAAGAAAAAAGTGCTTAAACTATGTTATACTGAAATATATTTGGCCCCAAGGGTTCATTTGTCGTAAATTATCTCCCACCAACCAACCTATTCACCCCTCTTTCTTCCTCCCACTAATCACAACAACCAAGGCAGCGTCTCATCACCATGCCGACGAGCAAGGCGGGATCATGGGCACATACTAGTTACCATGCGTATAACCCCAATGGGTTAGCGGAATGGCATGGGCACGTTTCATAGCTTAGGAACAGGGATTTGGTAAGCCCCATGTAGAATATGATGATCATAAGAAAAAGAAAATGGAGATCAACTAAATTTCTATTGTTTTCATCTGCTAAATCGACTTGAAAGAAATTTGCAATACAATAGATTTCAGTAAACCATTATCCTCAATAAGATGAACCACAATTATATTAAAATACTGATACAAAAAACATCAAGCTTCGATGACTTGAACTAAAACATATATGAATATAACTTTTGTTCAAGAGAAATTAAATTATTTTCATTGAAAACGATTATTAGCCTCTACTAAAGGAGGAAGTAGGTTAATCGTTCATGGTTAAGGCCTTTTATTTATTGTATCTGTTATGGCGAATTTTATAAGTGTGCGTTAATTAGGACATTTGGGGATAATTATTGTAATATCAAGCGGGAAAAGGAGGCATGGAAATGTGGAGGGGGTAAAAGAGGGAGGGAGAGTACAGAGGGAAAGAGGGAAATATAAGATCGAGAATAAGAGAGAGGAAGAGAATGAGACAGAGAGACAGAGAGACAGACACAGACATAGACAGACAGGTTAAGAGACATAGAGAGACAGAGAGATGGGGGGAGAGAAAGAGAGAGAGAGAGATAGAGAGAGGGAAAAAAAGGGGGGTGAAGGAGAATGTAAGGAGAAAGGGAGAGAGACGAGAACATAAGTATAGAGAGAGTAGAAGAAGGGTGAGAGGGGGGAGAGGGAGACAGAGAAGAGAGGGGTGGGAGGGAGTGAGAGAAGAGAGGAAGGAGAGGAAGAGGTAGAGACGAAGAGAAAAAGGGGGAGACAGTGGGAGAGGGAGAGGGAAGATGAAATAGAGAGAGAGAGAGAGAGAGCGAGAGAGGGTGAAATAATGAAAGAGAAAGAAACTATATATTTGGAAAGAAAGAGGGGGAAGAGGCGTCCTACTTCCAAAATTGTAACAATGTGTATTAAGCTTGATTGTATGGAACCGAAATTCTTCACCCCATGTTTGAGTTTGCCTGACCCCCTTAACCCCCAAGCTATTGTTAGGGAGAATGAGGAAGGGGAGTCGGAGCTTAAAGGTAGATTCTGGCTTTCACGGAGACATACAAATGAAACGGTCAAAAATTATGATCTAACTATCTATAGCAAAAACGTCATCAATCATTTTGTGAGGATATATTATGGTTCAAGTCAATATTGGACTTCATACAACGTACAAATAATCGCTTCTATAAATTGCAGTTTATTGTTACAGAGTGATGAAAACTATTTGCGGTTTGAAGAAAATTAATTCGGAATGATGTTGTGGTTGGTGGGAATTCATAGGCGAATAAATCTACCATAACCATTCAGTTTTAATAATTTAAATGAAAAAAGTGGGGGATTCTAGGGTGGACCGGTGGTGGAAAGCAAGGCACGGCTTGGTAATGAAAATGGATGTAATAATATATACTCCACTCTGAAACGTGCATTTTAATTCATGAAAACTAACAGTGTTCCGTCAAACTTTAGGAGTCACACAAAGTATCAAGACACACTTTAGAGTCCAAAGGAATCGTGACCAAACTTCACTCATCAGAGTCATGGATCGCATCATCTAGACCATAACGGCTCAGTAGAGGGTAATAATCATCTTATCCTCCCCCTCACCTATTCTCCTGGCGCCTTCTCTAATATGATGGATGGAGCGTGGGCAAGCTTTACATTTACCCCGCCAAGATATTGAATCATTTTAGTTTGTGATTTTAAATTGATTACTATATATAGAGAGCCCTCATGCGATACAAAGTTGAATTTGTGCAGATGGTTGGAATTAGGGTGCAATGGGTGCGTTTATGTTAGCTTTAGTTTTCACGATTCGACTGACCCGCTGACATTTGCACACGACGAGTCATTAGGGACTTTTAGATTCTGCACTGGCAGTGACGTCGCATTACCTTAAAAGGGCAGTCCGCGTTCTCGTCGTGCAGAATCTAAAAGTCCCTATTATCCTGAGACTGCGTCACTAACTGGTGATATCTTGACATCCCATGTAAGGGTGATAATGATATCGTGCATAAAGTGAATACAAAATAACAGTGCTAGCATTGGGTCAAACGTTAGCGCAAGCACTAAATTGCCTTTTGCCCGTTGACACGGGGCGTCATTTAGCTGACATGGGAATGCGTCCGAGATAGGTGTGGTCTTTGACGCGACATGATGAGATTGATGAGATTTGCATGTTAGAGGGTTAGTGCAGAAGAAGGAATATACTAAGTAACTTTTCAATACAAAAATTAATCAATCTCCAACAATGTTACTGGTTCACTTTAAGCTATACCGCCATAGAAATGACGCTTTGTGTGCAAACGGCTAAACTTGTTCTTGTTGCGCTGTAACATAAACAGGCAAGATCTCATTTCATGTCCCTTAGTACTTCTGTCCCTAGGTAGCTCATTAACGTATGAACAGAAAAAATATGAGATGACAATTAGCTGTCTGCAGACACTATGACAAGTATGAACTGAATGAAAAGCGAAAATATGTTTACATATTTTTACATATTTATTTTCTAAATACATGAATGAAGCATGACTAAAGCACACTAGGACAGACAGAGAAGAACAATAATGTTTGTAGCCATGGTAGCAGGGTAATGAAAAGATTAATAAAAGTTGTCGGGATAGCGTTGTGATACAAAAGAAAAGAAACATGGCTGAAAGGTCCACATACTGTATAAACATAATTACCCGATCAATAATAGGTCTGAACGCTAGTCGACTTCAGATTCAAATTTTAAAACTGTACAGGTGCGTCCTCAT